ATGAAATGCATATTATTACAGAAGGTAAAACAACAATGTGTATTTATCCCTACAAGAAAAAGGATGTGTATAGTTCTTACTCTCATCTCAAAATTATTGAATGAGATACTGCTAATATTTCTCTGTTGCCCAAAACAGAACAAAACAAAGAAGCGAGAACACATCAAAGAACATCAAATTGACAGTACTCACGGCACAGACATTCTGAGATCCACCGACTATAATCCTTCCAACTTTTGCAAGCAAAGTCTCACATAAAGCAGAAATTACACAGACCAAAATGAAAATGACTCGGTTACTTTCTAAATTAACAAAATCTGGTGACCAGTCAATTATCATTTCCATCAAACAAAGAAAGAGGCCAATTTAACGAAGATAAAATTACTCTTATCTCCATGCGAATGAGTACAGATCAACGGCTTCTTAAAAGAACGGAATCTGGTGAAATAACCTTAAACCACCGAAATCTTACACACAGCATCTCAGAGTGAAAAGAATAAATCACAGAAAACAATCAGCTCATGTACATTCATGCAAATGGGGCTTCAGCAAAGCTACCAAAAATCGAACCTTTACATTCATGGACACAAAACATTGAGAAAAAAAAATATGATTGCACTGCTACACAAAACGAGATAAATGCTCACTGATTAAAAAGGAAAAAAGAAAAACAGAATCTCGATTCAGTAGCTTTTGTCGCGAAAATGCTCCATCTGCGAACTTTCGCCTTTCACCCCATTATTTTGTGACTCACTTCACTCGCTAAATGAACCCTCCAACTTCTTTTTTAATTGATTTTCTTTTTCTGTCTCTTTATCTTTGAGGGGCTATGCTATCAATCAATTATGAGCAGTGGGCGTATGTGTTGTGTACTTATGTCAAGTCTTGTGGTTCTTGGTTGGTACTTTGTGAGATGACGACCTGTAAAAGCACACGACTGAAAACTTTGCCCACCTATCACTAGTCGCTATACAAATACATGTATACACCTACGCACAAGGAACAAACTCCAATTTTATGGTTTCAAAGATTTAAAAAGAAAAAAAAAAGAAAGAAATGATCCTTAAGTGCTTGCTTGTATATATATAAAAAAAAAATGTTATAGGTACATAGTATTGCATATGGTGTACATAACACTCTCATCGAGTGAAACCGATAAAAAATAAAAAATAAAAAATCAAGTAAACCCACTTCATGTGAGTGTTATTTAATTGGTGGGAGCTTAGTTTTTGTTATTCTCTTTTTGGGAGCGTTTCGTGTGTGTGTTGTGATATGTAGGTTCTAGGCTACCTTTTGGTAGTTCTCCCTGCTAGATTCGACGGTGTAGCTGCTTCCTTCGGTCGTGTGGCTGTTGTAGTCAGTTGTGTACTCTATATTATAGTTCCGCCTCTATTATAGTTGTGTACTCTATATTCATGACAAAACCCCCAAGCCAGTGGCGTCCATCATTTGGCACAAGTCCGCCTATTGATGCCATTCCGATTGGATTAACAAACGACCCATCATAATTTATTTTCACCGTTCCTGCTGGTGGCGCAAGCCAAGACACCAGCAGCAATGTCGCCCCACACCCAAACCACCTAAGATTTTCTCGCCGGTTTGTTTGTTTGTGTTTTGTTTGTTATAAAACCTATCGTTGCGAATAACAAAA